GATGGAGGCGTGCAATCGCATCGTCATGCTGGAAGTGCAGCTGCAGCGATCTGTGGTACGCTTTCTTTCTGCGCACACACATACACAATGTGCCGACCGACACACACGACACGTGCGTCATGTCATGTGTGTGTGTCTCAGGACGATGCTGCCATGGTATGCCGCACCTCCTCCCTCTACGAAGACCTGCAAAATGCCATGATACAAGCCAAACTGAGGTGCGCCGCGCCCGTTGAACAACCTCTGTGTCTCAATCCAATCACATCCCTGCCTGTGTCCTCGCCAGTGAGTTTGACGCCACCACGAAGCTCCGTTCGTGCATCGCCGAGCTGGCCCAGCGGTCAGAGGTCACCCAGACGACTCACACCACCACCACCAGCAACACAGCGGGACCGAGCGCGTCATCGTCCGCTGCCGGCGTCCTGACCACCACCACAACCCAGACCACCCAAACCACCCAGACGACCACACAGACCACAACCACCCTCCTCTCCCACAGCAGCAGCAGCAGCCCCGCCACCATGAGCAGCAGCACCGGAAGCAGCTGCGGCGCCATGATGTCCGCCGCATCGAGCAGCACCCCCAAGGCGGCCGAGCTGGCCCCCGCCACTCTGTCGTCGAGCAAGATGATCGTGAGCGAGTCCACCCTGAACCCGGGGGCCAAGGCCTTCACGCCCTCCGGCTCGGCGGGCGGCATTGACATCCTGCAGAAGCTCGAGATGCAGCTGCACTATGACCAGGCCAACGCCAGCCCGCCCTGGAGCCAGACATTCGGCCCCTCCACGGAAATCACGCCGTCGACCGTCAGCTCCTCACAGCAGGGCTCGGCCGCCACAAGTGTCACGAGCGACTCCCAGCAGCTTTCGGCTCAGACAGACGCGACGCCGTCGCCCGGTGTGGGAGGCGTGGAGGGCGCCAAGCAGAAGAGCGTGGCCTTCGCACAGGCGATCTCGTCGATCCCCAGCCCGCCGTTCGCACACAAGACGGCGGACGGCGTCATGGGCATGGCCCCCACTCACCACCCATCAAGCGACGACGACAAGGAGGGCGCCAGCGACAGCACCGACAAGGAGGGCCCCTCCGAGCCGGCCGTCCTGAGCCTGCCCTTCCTGCCGCCCTCTGCGCCTTCACACCCGCCCCCGCCCCCTCCACCCCAGACCAATGGCAAGACCACCACCACCACCACCCAGCAGCAGCAGCAGGGAAGTGACAGTGGCAGTGGCGCCAGCAACAAGCAGCCGCCCAAGAGCAATGGCCAGCCGCGTGCCGGCGAGACCAAGATCTTCTCGATGCGCGGCACCATCCCTGGCAAGAAGGCCCACGGCACCCGCACTCGCCACGCCACCAGCACCCAGCAGCAGAACCAAACCCAGCAGAGCCAAAGCCCTCAGCAGCAGCAGCAGCAGCAGGCCAGCAACACCAACAGCAGCACCGCCGACAATGCAGTCGGCTCGGTGGGTCAGTCGGCATATCCACCCCCGACCATCCTCAAGGCGCCTCAGAAGCACTCAGGCGGCGGCCGACATCACCGACGCGGCAACCGTGGTGGCCACAACGACGGAAGCCAGAGCGACAACCAGCAGCAGCAGCAGCAGGGCAACAACGGCCGACAGGCGGGCAAGTGAGGGGGAGAGAAACGGAGAGACGGAGGGAGGAGTGAGGGCATCTTTGCCTGCCTGCCTGCCTGCATGATGACCGACCGACCGACCGACAGACACAAACATGGATGGATGGATGGATGCTGGCATTTTTCCGGGGTGACTGGCTGGCTGGCTGCCTGGCTGGCTGAGTGGTGGGTGGGCGGAGTGAGTGCGGTTTCCTTCGTCCATGAAGGGGCGGGCGGCTGCATCATGATGAGTGTGCTGGTGCGTGTGCGTGTGGAGTGGAGTTCAGCGTCGGGGTTTTAATTTTTGTCTTGACTTTCAAATTCGCGGTGGTCGTGTCGTGTCGTCATCACATCACAATAACAAACAAACGGGATCGGGCTCGGTGGTCGGTGGCTGGACGTCTGTCTGTCTGTCTGTCTGCGACGTCGCTGGGTGGGGTGAGTGGGCACTGCCTATTTTTTCTTTTTGGCGTGGCGTCGTGTGGCTGTCGATGTGGGTGGGTCGGTGGGAGGGATGGGTGGGTGGATGGATGAGTGGATGGATGCATCGCATGCCGTCCTGCCCCTCTGCAATGCATTCACTCGGTCGAGTACGTCTGTGCCGCTGTGCGCGGCGGTTTGTGTCCGGCCTTCCCACTCGCTTCGCATCACATCGGCTTGCTCAGACACGTAGTTAGTGTCGGTGTGTAGCGCGGTGGGGGTGAAGGCCAGACACTCACCGCAGAGCACGGCACGGCACAAGAAAAAAGAGCGGGCGGGAGGGGCCTTGGCTGTGCATCTGTCTGTGTGTCTGGTCGGTTGACCATCACCATCACGATTTTGTCTGTCGATTTCCATCCATCATCACCCCAACCAGCCCTCCCAGCCAGGCAGCCAGCCAGTCATCGATCTCTCTCTCTCCCTCTCTGTGTGGCGGTGTGGCTGTCTATTTCTCGGTCCCGATGCATCCATCCATCCATGCGTCCATCCGTTCGTTCATTGATGGGCATCATGCATCATGTGTGCGTAGGCGTCACTCGCTCTGTCGATAACAAACACTATCCACCCACTGACCCACACACACACACCAACACACGGACTCTGACACACATACATGGGATGAATGAACTAGCAAGGCCTGCTGGGAGAGTGGGTGGGAGGATGCGTGGGGGCGTGGTAGGCCATTCATTCATTCGTTCAGTGTTCGTCTCGTCGATTCGACTGACTGACTGACTCACTCTTGGTGTGTACAAAGGCAAGCCAACGGAGGGAGAAGGCGATATGATGATACGTGGGGCTACAAGCAATGGCAATGGGGGAGGGAGTGCAAGCGGTGCGGTGGGATGCGATGGCGCGGCGCGGTGGACTGTCTGTCTGACGTAAGTGATGTGCTACTGTGGATAGGGGCGGGACAAAAACATACAGGACGACCGATACAACGAAGGACGGAGGGTAGCTATCGTATGATTGGGGGAGGGAGGAGCGGAGAGTGCCATGCCATCCATGCGATGTCGTATCTCTCTCTGTGTGTGACCCAGTGAGTGGCCTCACTGAGGCCTTTTTGCTTGAGCGCAGAACGACAAAGCGGCGAGGGAGTGTGGTCAGAGGGACTTTGTTATCGACAAATGGGGACTGACGGAAGGGCGGCTCGGAGGAAAGCAAAAGGGCGGGCGGGTGGGCG